TCGTAAATTACGTTCACCCATCGTTTTTTATCTTGGAGACTCTGTAAGGAGGCAGAACTCATATTAGAAAGACACCGAATTCTATACTGGAAGAATCGCAGCTTATGGAGATTACAGGTTATTGTATGGGCCAGTGGCTGTTTCGAGTATTTTCAGTTGACGGGTCCAGAAGGATTACACGGAGTGATATACGGGGTCTCTACAGACCCCCCCCCACTATACCGGAGATGGCATTATAGGATCGCTATTATGTCGAGTAAGGAAGTTGGATATATTACAGAACACCGACTATCAGCACGTACGATAGATATCTGTACTGCTATCAATTAGTAAGGCAATCAGTGTTTTGGCTTCCCTTAGAACAATATATAAGAATATATAGGAATCCGCGCTTACAATAATGCATTCACAGAAACATATCAACGGCATGACGTCTTTTCTGATGAATTTATGCTTTTGCTTATGCTATGAAGATTGTCGTATCTGTGTATGAAAGCTCTGAAGGGAACAAACTTTGTGAGCCTACATTCTTGACTATCATACCGGCTTAGCATTTGCAGCCATGGTACAGGATGCTCATTGAGTACATATCCCGTTCATTTCGCATATCCTACACTTCGCATATCCTACACTTTGACCAGCTTGTGTTATATTCCGGAGATTATAACATCCGTAACTGCGACTACATTTGAAATGTCTGTTGCTCCACCTTTCAACGAAACAACGCAAAACCGCACGTTTTGTACGCTGTCCTAGAATTTTCTCGAAACACAGAGGGTTCAACACAAGTTAAAAAGGCACATCAAATGTAGAGCAATCGCCACACCTTATCAAATTCCAGTTTCCAAAGTGCAATATCTCATTTCCACATTTAGAATTGAAATTGCATGAATAATGAGAATAAAATAGAAAGTACTACAATAGAATGTAATTCATCAGTTAGCGTTTTATCTTAGGAAAATAGTCTGGAGAGACGATAGCTGTTTACGCTTTTTGCGTATCAAGATTTCTCCATACTTTCATCTATCTATTTCTCTATACCTAGCTGTATAACACTTACTGTTTTTGCCAGTGGTGGATGCTCGGAGGTACTGATTTCTGCATGTTCTGAATCTGAAATTTTATTTATTTCATTATAATGAATTATTAAAAATATGTAACTCTAGTAACTGCTTTTCTTCATGACATAGCAATTGTATTCACCAGCAGTGTATTAAGTTGGATTTAAGCCCGATTATAAATTTTCTCTTGAACTTGAATTTTGTCATATATCTAAAACAAGTTAAACGCATATTCATTAGAAAAATCGTCCATTTTCCTATGCCTACATCTCCTATGCTTCCAAAGCCTACATTATTTTATACACTAAATGTTTGAGCTCTCTAGCAAGTCTTTGATGAAGCTCAATATTTTTTTTTGTTTTGTTTTTGTTTTCTAGAATGTTACTTTTGCATAATAATGAAATTTTCATTTTGTCTTTCAAATTATACTTGCCTAACCGAAGAATGGTTTAAAAAGAAAAATATCAGTTTTTAAAACAGAAATTTAAAGACTTTATCTTATTTTTAAGAATTTGTATAATTCTTATATTTCGAGAAAAAATTGATGTATGCCATTGATACTAATGAACGTTTGTAGCATTATTCTTAAAAAACGTTAGGGGTAATACCGGGAAAAATGTCCATGATTTATCCAGAACCACAGATAATCATTCAACAATTAAAGAAAACACATTGAAGAAGAACAACCATATTATAATTCACAATTGTTAATAATGTATTTCTAAGCAATTTAGTTTAGATAATACGTTCATTTGTTTATGCAAATTAAATCCGCATTCAGAACAAGAACACAATTCAAAACAGAAAGAACAAATATAGTTCATATTAGTCTTGTAGTTCTACAGGAGTCAATAAGAAGTAGAAAAATTTAATTTATTTTGACCATTTAGTAATTTATTTAACGAATGAATTTCACAGTTCTTATATATTCCAGATTACAAGCAATTAAATTAAGTACTGTCGAGGATTAAAACCAATTTCTAAATAGACTGACATTATCTGGTGTTCCTGCTGTTATCCCACGCATTTCTTCTCCTTTTTATACTTCCCGTTGAAATTTTGTTTCATTCAGATGATTCTGTTATTAATCTTCTCTTCCTTTCGCAATAGGTAAACTTACATTTTTTTAGATAAGGCCTGGCCAATACGCCTCCGGCTAACTAAGAGTTTTCTGTAATTTAAAATATAACTTGGAAAACCTCCAACCATTAAATTTTTTAAATATTTGCAGCATAATTGTAGTTATTAAAATATTCTTCTGGCATCACATATTAGGTACCTCAGTAGAGAATAATTCAAACTTTTTCGATGTACACTGGTTATCATAAATTAAGGAAAAATCACAAAAAATCACGATTACTGAAAAAGTTACATGTAGAATTTTATGAAATTTACCCACAATATACAACACATAGTAGGGTATCAAATAACATAAAAAGAAATTACGAGACAATTATGGTATTATAGAAATTAGCACATGTATAGAATGAACAAATCGAAGATGTAAGTTTGCTATAGTAAAAGTACCTTCAATATGGAATATAATCGCCTCTAGAAGCAATACAGCGGATTCAGCGATGTGCGATGCTTTCAATTATGCGGTCTATCAGTTCCATAGGAAGTGAGAGCCATTGCTCTTGCAAAGCAGTTGCAAGCGCAGCAAGTGTCTAAGGGGGCGGACTGAGAGCAGCTAAACGTCTCCCTAAAGCATCCCAAACGTGCTCGATAGGATTCAAGTCCGAGGGATCGAGCTGGCCACTCCATGCGCATAATTGTTTACTGTTGAAGATAATCGTATACGATGCGAGCCCTGTGTGGTCTTGCATTGTCGTCCTGCAACAGGAAAGCATCACCTATTGCCCCGGCATATGGGAGCACATAAGCATCAAGGATGTCATCTCTATAAACATGAGCATTCACGGTTTCCCTTGGAAAAACATGTAGGTCTGTGCATCCACCCAAAGAGAAGCCACCCCAAACACAGACACTGCCTCTTCCGTATGCATCTCTTTCACGGATGTTTAACGGATGATAACGGGTTCCAGGTTCTCTGCATATAAAATAACGCCTATTATCGCTTTCTAGACTAAACCTGGACTCATCCGTAAACAGAATAGCCCTCCATTGCTCAGGCGTCCAGTGAACATGTTGTCGTGCCTACTGGAAACGGTCCTCCTATGGCGTGACTTAAACGGCATCCAAATGGTTGTTCGCCTCGCATACAGACCACCTCCGTAAAGACTTCTACGCACAGTTGACGCTGACACCAACATCCCAGTGGCTACATTAAGGGAAGATCTAAGAAGAGTCGGAGTAGCGGTTCTATTCCTGCGTGCACATAATGTGAAATATCGGTCATCGGCGCTCGTCGTAGCAGTTGGCCGTCCTTGGCTGAACCTCCTAGGTACCGAATCTGTGATTTGAAATTGCCTCCAAAGTCTATGAACCACAGAAGGACACACATTTAGCCATCTGGCCACTTCTGCTTGACTTTGTCCTACCTCTAGTCTCCCAATGGCTTTCTGTCGTAGTTCTGCAGGCAAATGATGCCTGGAAATCATTGTTACGAATTGGCTATCTCAGATTTCTGATGTCACTATCACAGTGAAATATGTGGGCCTGCTCTCATACATGGACTTTTATGCTCCTCACAAATGACGTATTCCGAGTGCAGCGCCACTAATTTGCATATTGGAGTTTTACTCAGCTACTCTTACTTGGAAACATATTCAAATTTTACAGGGTTTGGTTTATTTTTGAGGGAGTTATTGCTATTTTTGTGATATTTCCTTAATTTATGAAAACCAGTGTCTGATGTATGATGGCGATTTTTTTGATCCAGTTGATTTAAAAATCGATGTGAGTTATAACGAAGTTTTCTTTAAGTGAGCGTGATTATGCAATTAAATATCCAAATAAATTTATTTCCTAAATAAGTTGGGTTCTTTAAGCTCAAATAACAGGGATTATATTTATTTGCTTGTGAAAATTTTATCACATACGAGTTTTTGTTCCTAACGGTTGAAAGGTCTTTAATTACATTAGATTTTCTTACATATTAGATAGATAGTAGGTATTCTAAAATTTTTAGCGTGATTTTGAACTACAGTCAATTTATATTTCTTGATTAAGAACTTTTAAGTAAATAAATATCTGTGCAATTATAATTAATGGCTTTTTGTTAATTCTTTGAATGTGTTTTATACTTTCAATTGAAAAGGAGTTCTACGGCTTAAAAAAGTAAATGGTATAAAATAAATATTTAGCTTTTCATTCGAATACATTAATTATACGTTTTTGGTAAATTTTATTGCAAGTTTCTAAATTCACATTAGTAAGATAGCTATGAAATCGTAATGAAAGTGTATCAATTTAATTTTATTATAAATTCCTGTAGAGAAGAATATAATTTTCCTTATTGTTGGTCCGAATTCCAGGAACCTGTTTTCCAAGAAGTTAAAAGGCATTAAAAGGCTTTCCTAAAAACTAAATTTTGTTTTTGGAGTTTAACTTTTTACTGAACTTTTAAATTGTATAATGAACTAACTATTATCTGAAACCGTTTAACAAGTGCCTGGTAAGGACAGCGATAAATTACGAGGTTTTAGCCACAATTGTATTTTTATGTATGGTATTGTATATCTGCATTTATAATTTCTAAACTGCTTCAAAAAATCTATTTCATGTATGATATAGCACTTATGATGATTCCATTAGCCTACGTATGATGCAATATTTTATATTTATGATCATCTGTTTGACGTAACATATAAACTGCAGTAATTTATCTTGTAATTCCTTCAAAATACACACAGCACATTAAAAGTAAAGAAAATTTATTATTTTAAAATAAAGCATTACGATTGCATCAGTACATAATTTTGAATACTGCATATTTTAATTTTCTTTCGGAAAAATAAATATAAACAAGTAACCAAATTTCTTTAATTTTTGTGTTGTTTAATGAATATTCATTTCTTCAAAATAATGAAATTTTGCAAGACAGAATAGTAATACGGCAGAATTTACACAGAATCCAAAGTAAACTTATTAACAAACAATTTAATTGAAATGTTCTGATTGGTTTAGCGGTCATATTGCTCCCGATCCCATTCCTCCAAATCTCTTATGAAGGTCCTCATGGAGTTGAGCAACAAACGTGCTTCTGCTCTCATATTCTCTTTCTCTGTCTGAGGATGGTTTGGCATTTCGAATCGACTGTCTTCATCATCATCTTCTGTCAGCTGCTGCATTAATTTTTTCTGGCCTGCAACATCTCCTCTGATGGGCTCCGCCCTCTTACCGAATCGCATGGGCACACGCATTCGACAACGTTGACAGAACTCCTGTCCGTCCGACCGATTGCAAACAGATTGGCAACGTTTAGAGACGACAGCAGATACATCGGGCAACAACAGGAACAAAGCCGCGGTCACGGCTAAATTTAGTGATAAGTGTTTCATAGATGTTCCGTTCTTGAAAACCTGAAAAACAAAAAGTGCTGTTTCAGATCAGAAAAAAGCATCATATGTATCTTACAAATCAAATTCAGTTAAAAATGAATCATTAGTTATCTGTTAGTCATATTCTGATTTTCAACTTCACAATTCAAACAGCCGTAACGTTATAATGAACTTCCTACAATATTTACAGAGGTGTTTTCTATAAAATGTAAACACAATAAGAAAATTTTTGAAGATAGAAGACCGAATATTTGGGAGTGCTCTTTTACTAAATGCTTTATAAAGATATATTTTAATAAGACTTGTGGAAAAAGTAATTGATTTCTCTGAAATTCAGATTAGATTTATAAACGATTATGAAATTTGTAATAAATTCACTCCCAGCACAAATTTTAGCTTCAGCACGAAAACACGGTTGGCATAGCACTTGGAAATCCACGATGCACTTGGAAAATAAGTTGTAATCAGGCCCAGTCTTAAAAATTAAGAAGCACTCATTCAAGTTGAGAAACTTGTCAGAATACTCTAATATTATCTTAGACCGATATTTCAAATGTATTCTGTATCTAAGCTGTTTCGAAGATATAAAAACGTCTCAAAAGTACAACACTCTGCTCAGTTGACAGGAAGAGCTTGATGCATCTTCTCAGTACTTCAAATATATGATATAATATTGTCACAGTCCCAAACGGATGGCACTCATCATCTGCAGAGGTGGATCACCACCTTCCCTGCCAATCACCAGAGAATATGAGATTGCAAATGTAATACTCAATCTTGTAGGCCTAAGACCTCTATATATGGGTTTAAATGGGGCATAACGGCAGAAGTCTTAAGGTTAGGAGTGTACGCGATCACATTCCACAGCACATAACTGAGAACGGATTAAGAGAATAGAGTTACATGGGGAATACACCTATCCTACAAGACGAGGCCTTTGTCAGTGATATAACTGAAGAGACAGATGGTGCAAGGGAACAGCCAATGCTTTCCACAAAAAGATAGGCAACGATTGTATTTTTCAATAATGGACCAAGCTCATACATATTTGTCTTTCTAGCAAAATTATTCCCAGTTTCTAAAGCAGTAAAGTTTGCCCTCGGTGAAAACCTTAGAATATTTTTAAAAGCACAAACATCACGTCTAGTATTAAAGTCATTAGTGGGGATAACTGTAGAAAAGATTTGATCTATGCTGTTAGAGAAATTCTTAGCAAAGATTGTCTTATCACTCTGCAGTGGATCGAAAAGCCCATGCAGGATATGATGGAACTGGAAGAGTCGGTATGCTGGCAAAGAAGGCTAAAAACATGCATATTCCCGGCCATCAGGCGTATCTTTAATCATCTGTTAACACTGAAAAGAAAAGTAAAAATAAATGGAAATGACGTTTGGCAAAGGCAATGGAAAAAGGAAACAGCGGGTTACATCATCCAGGCATTTCCACCAGTCTTGTTAGTTCTAAAATCACAAAACTTCATGCTGACCCAATTCCACAAAGACGGTGACTTATTTACATAGGCTCTATCTTAGAAGCTCAGATCAGTGCTCCTGCGGTAAAGTAGGAAATCTGAGACACTACTTACATGCATTTGCCCTAGGCCATGCATCTCTCAGAACCTTTCGAAAGGACCTTTAGACCTGGAGAGTTCGACTAGCGGGAAATGAAAATGTATTGAAGAAAGCTCTTAAGGTAATAGGTATATTAACTTTAAGGCATTCTTAGGTTTTCTCACAGCATACCGCATCTAATTTAAAACTGTCAGCTGCAAAGTACATTATTTTGTCTTGCATTATAGTGTTTAATTTATTTAGCTTCTATTCTTCAGTCTGCGATTCAGACTTGCTTTCCGTGAACAATAAACATACTTTAAAGATTGTTTTATTTGGTAATTATAAGAAGATTATAATTTAGAACAAACTTCCCACGATGTTTTCCCTCAGGGCTCGGTGAGTATGGTTGTGGCAATCCTGAGGTATCTTAGGTATTCAAGGTATCATGGGTCTTCTTGTTAAGATAGGGGTCACGATCCTAAAGTCCTAGTGATCTTTTCTTCTTTCCTTTCTAATTCTCCTGCGGTTTTACTTTGTGGTTTTACTTCAATGGAGCAGCTGCCTGAGCCTCATGTTATATTAGGAAACTTAAACGGTCATTTCCCACTCGGAGAAAAGATATAAATCTCCGAGATAGACATATTGAACAAATGACTGAAGATGCTCTTGTCTGCTCAATGATGGACAAGACACCTACTTCCACGAGCCTGCAAGGAGATTTCAGCTTTTGATCTTGCCCTATTCACCATCTCTTTTGCAGTTTTGTAAATTCAGTGTTAGAAATGACACATACATTAGCGATTATTCTCGTACTATGTATCTCTATGAACAAGCAGAAGGCCTAAATTCTATGTCAAGGTCTTCTCATTTTATACTTCGTAAGGCAGACTAGGAACTCTGCTCATCTTTTTGCAGAACTCACAGAAGCAATGTTAAAAGATGTGCTCATCGATAATGCAGTGAAAGCCGTTACCGATGTAGTTATTCAGGCAGCTATTGCCTCTATCCCTGTAACGTCAAAAAAGCTTTCATTAATCGTGATTGTCAACAAACACTGAAAAAAGTGAAACTCTTGCGGAGTTTTTCTTAGATACCCCTCTTTATTAAATCTTATAAACTTAAGAAGGCACGAAAACGCAAGAAAAGTGAGACGACAAAGCCAGAGGAATTCGTGGATATCCTATGTTTTATCAATAACATAATCTACGCAAATTAAAAAGGTATAGGAAAGAGTTAAGAAAGTGTACGAGAGTACAGACCGCTCACTTTCTATTTTGAAAAAAAATGTGGCCATACGATTAGCACCCCAGAAGAAATAGAAAATGAAATTGGTGAGGTCTTTTTTGCAATTTCTTGTGACAGCAGGTACACGCTAGCATGCCAAGCGTCACTTAGAGAAAATTTTCATTGCCTTCAACTCTTTCAGCTCAGAGTTTAATAATGACAAGTTCACTATAATTGAGCTGAAGAGCCTTATTTGAAATAAATAGGGCTAGCCCTTTCCTAGGTGGTGGCAGTTCTGAAATGCTAAAACGTCTGTCCTATAAGTCATTGGCAATGATTCTCTCTCTCTACAAGGTGTGGAAGGAGTAAAGGTTTCCGAGAGCTACTGTTATTTCCATAGCTAAACCAGGTAAAGACTCGAAAAATCTCTCGAACTATTGTCGCATTGCACTTAATAATTGCGTTTGCAAACTATTGGAAAAATTGGTAAACCGGCGACTAGTGTACATCTTAGGAAATATTAATAAAAATCTTGTCATATCAGAGGGGTTTCCATAAAAAGAGATGAACCACTTAAAATATCTTCCAGTGGAAACTTCTGTACATAAATCCCTTATCAAAAGAAACCATATCCTTTCAGAGTTTTGTGACATACAGAAGGAGTACGATAAGGCTTGGAGAAATGGCAACTTGCGTTATCTTCACGTGAATGGTTTGCGAAGCAATCTACCGATTTTCATAAAGAATGTTTTAAAGGCAACAACGTTTCAAGTAAATGTTGGCTGCTCTGTCAGATGTCTACGAACAGTAATGTGCCTCAAGGCTGTATTTTGAGTGTGACTTTATTCAGTTTTAAAACAAATTCTGTTTTAAAAGAACTTCCTCCAACTTTTCAGGATCATTGTATCTTCATGGCCTCCATATAAGTTGTTAAACTAGAGATATGAGATATGTGGAGAGGCAATTATAGATCGATCTTTACAGGATCCAGAAATGATCAAGCAAACACGGATTTTTATTTCAAAACAGAAGACTGTTTAGATGCACTTTTATAGGATGTGAAATCTCCATACGGAGCCTGAGCTTCAGCTTGAAAGATGATTAATTTCAGTCGCATCCGAAGTGAAAGTTTTAGGGATAGAGTTTGACAGATAGCTTTCCTTCCGCATGACTGGTACTTGAGAAAGAAGGGTTTTAAAAGAATAGGTATTTTAAAAGTCATAGCGAACACATCCTGTTACGTAGCTCAATATTTCACATTTACAGAGCGGTCATAGTCGAGTGCAGAGCGGTTTACAGTTCTGTACTCGACTGTGGATTTATTGTTTATGGCTCTGCAAAGTTTTCAGTTTTATTAAAGCTAGATCCTGTTTATCATCAGGCTCTACGAATTTATTATGAAGCCTTCAGCATTTCTCCTGCCCAGAGTCCATTTCTCCATCCTCAAGTCTTAAATTTAAAGAAGAAATTGTGCTAAAGTTCTCAGCATACTGAAAGTCCCAGCTAATACTTCAAGGGGAGCAGAACGTTGTTCAATGCTCCGCATATATAGAACTTTAACTCCTTCAAAAGTAGACTACGGTTATGTGATCTTTGGACCACCAAGATCTTCTGAGCTATCAGAATTTGATCTGGTACACCATCAAGCTCTATGGATATGTCTGTAGCTTTCAGAACATCTTCAGTCCAAAGTTTATATACCATCTGTTTTGACTCATTTCTGGAATTCAGACGCAAGCGGTTGTCACTTGAATTTCATTATAAAGTAAAGCTGCAAGCCGCCCATCCTGCTCGACTCATGATGTATGATGAGTAGTGGGCTTTCTACCAAGCACGTCCTTCATGTGTCTCTCCTTTTGATCTGCGCATTCACTCATTGTTCAAAGAATTCAACTTAAGTGATCTGCATCACAAAAGCTTTATCCATTTCGGTATTAGTACTTGGAAAGAAAGCAAATATTCAGCTACATTTTTGCAAGAAGAAGCTTGAACAACACTAATGATATCACGTATCAAGAAATATTCCGAAAACATAGAAGCAAATATTCTAAATATAGAGCAAAATTTTCTAAGAGTCATATCATGTCGAACAGCTTTTGTTTGTGATAAAGAAATAAAGAACTATAGATTTCATAAGGCTGCATCTGTTTTTACTACAAAAACCCTTGCTATTTTTAGTTCCTTATTTCTAAGCAGCATAGCAGAACGTTCATTACATATTCTGACTTTTTGAGTGCGTTTGAA